TACATTGACATATAGTGGAAATACACCAAGGGGAGGAGGAGTGGGATAGAAGAAAGATGGGTAGAGAGGGATGGGAGAGAGGATGGGAGGGAGGGTGAGAAGGGAGTGGATCGGGAGAGAGGAGTGGTAGAGGGGGAGGGGAAGTAGGGTAGAGGGGGATGATGGAGGGAAGATAGAAAGTTGGAGGGGGGTGGAAGAAAGAGGTGTACGGAGAGTGGAAGAGGTATTGGGTTTCTATTTTTTGTGGTATTGTTGACAAGAGGAATTGCTGCGATTATTGTTTAATGTTGTATGGCTCCGGCTATGCACAGTATATATGTGAGTGTATGAAAATGAAAAAATGAAAATAAAACATTTGAATACAAGTTTTATAGCTGTTCTTTGCAATAAGATTAAGAAGGTGAGCGTTGTTACGAAGAATTCACAGTCGCCATTTTAAAAGCTTTTTTAAATAGTCAAATTAACGAAGGAAGATCTTGTAAAAAAATGAAGCTAGGATTTAAATAAGCAAATGAAGTTCTCAGATACGGGCTCTGCTTGTATTAAAATCAAATAGTTCAAATATTGTTCTAACCGTAGGGCCGTTTTTTGTCCTCCAGAGGCTTCAGGGAAGCTATAAAGTCTCTGGAGCCTGGGGAGGGCAAAAAAAGCATGCAAAAAATGGGGGGAGCGCCTGTCATGCGTACATGTGTGCTGGGTTGCGCATTGCATTATGGATGCAACACACCCGCGCATGACCCCCTGCACTCCTCCCCCAGCTTATGGCACCATGTGTTGCTCTATGGCAATTGCTAGGTAGAAGTAAAAATATGTAATTGTTAAAGTACAATCCCTTGGACATAGGGTATCAAAGTATGTGCCTGGAATCGTTGGAAGAACTGTGCTTCTGGATTCAGTTCCAAGTGGGGAAAAAGACACTGGAAACATGGAGGTTGCTTGGAAAGATGGTTTAATGGTGGACAGGATCACATGGCTTGAGTCCTGAACAGAAAAGGGGGAAATCACATGCTTCCAGATGTTGAAGAAGAAAAAGAGAAAGAAGGGGCTTGCTGAGAGTTCCTGGGTTTTTTATACTCTGTTCAGCCCCCACCTCTCTGTTTCCTGTTCCTGTGTAAGAAATGTATTCTGATTGGTTGTCAGACTCCCAAGGGCAAGCCTTAGCTAACTCTGTAGGTTGTGTGCCTTTTGAGTCCCAAGATTGGTTGAGTTTTCTGATGCCTTGTGATGAGTTTCTGTAGAAGGCTAACCCTACCTTTGTTATGCACAGGCTTTTTTAAATGGCCCATTGATAAAGGTGTGGGCTATTAAGAGAGAGTCTTTTTCCTGCCTAAAAACATGTTTCTCTATTTTTTATCTAAGGAAATATAATATTCTGCCTTTTCAATATTTCCCAGGATATTTTATTTTTTCTAGGAGAAGGGTGGGTGCTAACTTCCTACAGAATATAAAACTTTCTCCCTTGGAAATAAACCAGTTTCAAGGTATAGAGAGTTTTGTGGAGAGGTTGGGAGAGATACAAGAAAAGAATAAATTGACAAGGTACCATAGGTAGCACATAAATCAAGAAAACAAAAGAAAAGAAAAGAAAAGAGAAAAGAAAGAAAAACAATACATTTAATGATAAATGTTAGAATGCAGGTTTTCAGTGCTGAAAAAGATTGTGTTCTACCACAAAGTCCGCAGAGTAAGATTGTGGCAAGGGATAAATATGATCTGCAAATGCCAAACAATGTAAAAAGATACAAGATCCAACCAATTAAAGTAAATATAAGAATTCCAGCAGACCACAAGATGGCGCAGATTTGCTACCAAAATGGAAAATGGTTTTTAAGAGATCAGAGTCAAATACCTCTTACAGGACAGAGGAAATAGGAAGAACATTCAGCCTCAGAGTAAGTAAGCAAGTAACTACTCACACGTGGTGATTCTCAAATCTTTCTATGTATAGGCACCACTAACTTAAAGCACACGCACACACACACGAGAGAGAAAACCAAGACTTAAGTAATTCTATAGTAGTTTTAATCAAATACCTTTCCGTGAACAGAAAGTATACTGAAAATTATAGAAGTCATCACATACCTACATCTATACAATTTAAGATTACATCGCTAATCTCCCAATCTAGTGTGGTTCTTCAGCCTACTCTGAGTATAGCAGTCTCTACTGCCAACAGACAATCTGAAATTTGTGTCAATCCTTTTAATGCAGATATTACAAAGAAAATAAGGGGACCCTCATTCAGGCAAAATGTATGGCACATGGCTTTTAATTTATGGCATAAATTAATACTATTATAAGAAATTGGATGGTATTTTAGAGAGAGCGAGACCTCAGGGAGAAATCTGATAAATTTGATGGTCTAAAATGTTGACCTTGGAGGAAAAGAATGGATGTGTGAAGTGGGGGGGGGGGCTGTTGTTTCCCTCCAAAGTCAATCTTAGACTATCAGATTTCTTCCCGAGATTTGCTCTTGCTAAAATGCTACATTTTACTGGATATTGTTATGGGTTGTTTAGTGAAAAGAGCCGTGTCTACACTTTTGCTTAAGAGTGAAGTTTTCTCTCGGTCTCCTAATTAACTCTAAACTTCCTACCTGGAGTTGAAGTCCTCGGCACATTTGCTCAGATTCTGAAGCGAGTGCTGGTTTTCTTCCGGGAAGGAGCAGGCTTTGAACATGGGGATTGCTGAGCCTCTCGTGGGGTCCTTATTTCTGTCTAAAAGGTGGGCTTTAGTCCAAGCTTCCTCGGATCATTACCACTGGTGTTTCTTTCTGTGTACACATCTCTTTTTACTCTTTTTTGCCTTTAGCATAATAATGCCTTGCTGCAAAAGTTTACCTAATTGTTTCGTAACATGCTGGATTAGCGACAGAGAAAAACATACCCTGAATTTCTTTCGTCTTTCTTTCCTTCTTTACCTCTTCTAATCTAGAAAAGCTCTCACTGGAAATTCACTAACGTAAATAGGAGGGGGTGAGGTTAATTAATAAAAAAGTTTTGTAACTCTTAGTTAAAAATGGCTGCTGATTCTACTTGAAAAAACAGATAAAAACAAACATCTGAAACAGATTAAATACAATTATTTTTTCCAGCCCCCTACTTTTATTTGAGCCTGGTATATGTAGTAATAAAGAAGCTGTTTTGAGCATTTACCCCCCCCCCTCCCAAGTTCATCTACACAATTTTTCCTAGTCAGGTTTTGAATAAAAAGACCTAAATGAGAAATAAAATGAGGCTGAGAAAGGAAGGAAGGAAGGAAGGAAGGAAGGAAGGAAAGAAGGAAAGAAGGAAAGAAGGAACAGCAGTTCTCCAAGATTGCTCAAATGACGGCCCAGATTGTTGGGAGCAATATACAGTGACTCTGTAAACCACTTAGAGAGGGCTGTAAAGTGGTATATAACTAAGTGTTATTGCTAAAGGGTTAAAGTAAAGGTAAAGGTTCCCCTTGGACATACCTGCTAGTCATTCCCAACTCTAGGGGGTGGTGCTCATCTCTGTTTCAGAGCCAAAGAGCCAGCACTGTCTGAAGACATCTCTGTGGTCATATGGACAGCATGACTAAACACCAAAGGCGCACAGAACGCTGTTACCTTCCCACCAAAAGTGGTTCCTATTTTTCTATTTGCATTTTTACATGCTTTCGAACTGCTAGGTTGGCAGAAGCTGGGACATGTAATGGAAGCTCATTCCATTATAAGGTGCTAGGGATTCGAACTGCTGAATTGCTAACCTTCTGATCGACAAGCTCAGCCACTGAGCCACCGCGTCCATCTACTATAGTGCTATAGGGTTAGGGTTAGTGATATATAAGTCTATGGACTATTGCTATTGCCATCAGTCCAGTAGTGTGTTCTGGATCGCGTTGTCCACATGGACACATGCAGTGATGCCTCCGCGATGCTCCAGCTGCTCAGTGGAGCATTGCGCAGGTGCTGTACACACCATGAATCTGTGTGGAAGCGCCAAAGACTTTAAAGACAGGTAAGGAGGGCGGGTGGTACCCGGTTCTCTGGACAGGCTCCAGTATGCCCATACCGGGGTGTACCACCTGCAATCCACCACTGCATCTAGTCTAACCAAATAAAGAAAGATTAGCAAGATAAAATTAGTTAGATTGAACAAGTACATGCACCTTGCTTGTTTGACAGATTCATGTTACTAAAAGACCATTGTAAAAGTGTTGCAATATTAATTTGATTCTAAATATCTTACTGTATACACAAAATATTTCAAAGAGATACCTGGGATTTTAACAAAATCTTATCTGCAAATGAGAGGATCTATTTTTTTCATCTGTTATCTTGAATCTTGAAACTGTAATTGCAGGTATCAACTAATTGTACTAATTATAATAAATTTTGGGTTCCCAAAAACTAAATTCTCATGTAACTTACTTTCTAGGGTGTTTGTGTGTATCTACTTGACATCTTTTTATAAATATTATTTGCTTTCCTTAATTTTGATTTCAGAATCTACTTGGTGACCCTGTTGGCTTTTCTTACATTGCTTCATACCTGTAGAATGGATGCAGTTCTTGATTCTAAGCCAAATATCATTCTGATGCTGGCTGATGATCTTGGAATTGGAGATATAGGCTGTTTTGGTAACACTACTATCAAGTAAAGTTTTCGCAGATTACTTTTTTATCGCTTTAAAGCTGGTTAAGTAGTTTGACAATGTGCTTTATTGTAAGCTGCCCTGTGAATATGGTGGCCATATAAATTTGACAAATAAGTAAACACATGCATATACCGTGTTTTCCCGAAAATAAGACGGGGTCTTATTTTATTTTGACCACCCCCCAAATTTTGCTTGGGCCTTATTATCAGGGGGGCTTATTGGTTTGGGGTTGCTGGGTGGCTGCTCTCTTGTGAGCGGGCACCCGAAGAGCCCGGCATAGTCTCAAGGGCAAACGGCTGTGTTGCACTGTCGCAGCAGCACAACAAAGCCTCCATGAGGTGACCATGCTCATGAGCAGCTGCCCGGCAATGCCCGTTTCCAGCCGGGCAGAGCATCACTCACCAACCCAGTAATATCCCAAAGGTGCTAAGCTGTGTGGCGCTCTGCCCGGCTGGAAAGAGAGGTTGTGTGAGAACTTGTTCTGCCTCCAGCTCGCGTGCCTCCCTGCCTCACCATGGCCAACTCTCCCTGCAGGGCTGGGCCAGGGCAGTGCCACTGCCACCCTGCTGCCGTAACCGCCACCATGCTCCAAGCATAACCAGCTTCCAAACTCTGGAGATCCGCTGCTGAGTCTTCCGGCAGTGGTCACTCACAGCAGGGCGGCGGCAGTGGCGCCCTTGCCCAGCCCTGCAGGGAGAGTTGGGCATGGTGAGGCAGGGAGGCACATGAGCTGGAGGCAGAACAAGTGCTCGCACAACCTCTCTTTCCAGCCGGGCAGAGCGCCACGTGGCTTAGCGCCTTTGGGATATTGCTGGGTCAGTGAGTGGCACTCTGCCCAGCAGGAAAGGGGTGTTGCTGGGCGGCTGCTCATGAGCGCAGCTGCCCGGCAACCCCCCGCTCCAGCTGGGCACAGTGCCACCCACCAACTAGCAGTACCCCAAAGGCGTCAAGCAATGTGAGTGCCTTTGCCCCCCTCCCCCGGCTCCTACGGCTTTGCGTCTTCGGGATATTGCTAGGTTGGTGAGTGGCGCTCTGCCTGGCTGGAGGGGAGTTTCCAGGGGGCTTATTATTGGGGAAGGGCATATATTTTTGCCCGTAGGAAAAATATGGCATGGTCTTATTATCAGGACTTGTCGTAATTTCAGGGAAACACAGTAGCTTTGGTGAATCTATCCAGGTGTTTCATTTAACTTCATTTGATTTACTTAATTTATTTAATATACTACAGTAAGTCTTATTTGTGTCTATCACTAAGCATAAATACCTACACGTGTGTTTATTTAATCTGCTACATATTGCCTTGGTATACCCCAGCTGTCACACTTAGGTTTTGTTATGCATAGAGCCACACACAACCAAAGATCTCCCGAATGAATACTCTTTAGATAGGTTTGATTTCAATTCTCATAATTGCAAATGAGAGCATGTGGAATTATGGAATCCAGAGAGCAGCAGGATAGAAAACATGGCTTCAACCTTCTCAACCTATGCATTTACTTCTATTTTATATTTTGTTTTGCTGTATTTAATCCTCTTTCAGAGCTTAGGATTTTTATAAATAATTTTCAGAAAGTAATGTAAAGTAGTTAAATTTAAAGATTTCAATTTAAAGATTTCAAGCCAGTCTGATTCTGAAATACTAAGCCATTATATGTTTATCTATCACATGGAGTCAAAAACAATACTATGATTTAGCAAGATGTGTAACCCAGTCTTTAAAATTTCCCTTGAAACATTGTCTTTAAGAAATGTAAGAAAAACATGAGTTGTTTTTAAGCTATATTTTTTAGGGCAGGAATAAAAAAAAATGCCCTTTTTATGTACTTCCACCAAAAACCTTCCTTGAATGGTTTAAATTGCTTAAAAGCAATTTAAGACAGAGCTCATCAAAGTGGAAAATCATTTTTCCATTCTTTTTTGCAGTTTTTCTCCTCCATTGTCCTTGATATGCTGATGTAATTTGCCTTAATTTCTCAAAAAAAAACAACCATCCTATACTCCGGTCTTTCCAATTGCCTTTCCCAGTACATTTCCCTCTTTTTCTGCTTTTAGAGCCGTGGATGATGATACAGCTGGATACTGCCCTATGGAGAATTTTCCAAGGGCAGCGCACTTCTTCCGCCATAGACTTTGTACTCCATAAGAGGCTAAATACATCCTATAGCTTACAGACTCTTCCTTCGCAAGGGATATACATTTGATGCATAGATAGCAGTATAGTATAGATATTCTAGAGTAGCAGTCAGTGAACACAACTACGCGTAGACACAACTTCCAATCTAACAGACTCTTCAGTTTGATCATCTCTACATGTTGTTGAAAATACAAACATACCAGACAAATCACTTTGGCTATTGCTACATACATTGTTTTACATTTTTCAGTTCTTTTTCTATGACTAGCTGCTTTTTAGCTACCTACTTATATTCACATTTTATATTTTTATTGTAGGACCCCTAACATTGACCAACTAGCTAAGGAAGGAGTGAAACTTACTCAGCATATTGCAGCAGCCTCACTTTGTACCCCAAGTAGAACGGCTTTTCTGACTGGCAGATACCCCATCAGATCAGGTAGAGGGGTTTTTTATCATAAAGTTGGATGAACTTTATACATAAACCAAATATGATATAAAGGATTTAAGGAATGGGACTACCATAATGTAACAACAACATAACAAAACAACTGGGAAAGGGGAAATGTATTTGATGCCACAAAAATCTAAGGTAACAGAGCTGTGGTGGCACAGTGGTTAGAATGCAGTACTGCAGACTAATTCTGCTGACTGTCAGGGGTTCAAACCTGACCAGCTCAAGACTGACTCAGCCTTCCATCCTTCCGAGGACTCAAATTGTTGGTGGCAATGTGCTGATTCTGTAAACTACTTAGAGAGGGCTATAAAGCACTGTGAAGTGGTATATGAGTCTTAAGTGCTATTGCTATTGGTATCAATATTGAGAACACCCACAAGGAAGAACACCCTGTAATGTTCATTAATGTCCTTGTAATTTGGTAAAGTTTTTGCATGTTTTAGTTCTATGGCATGTATTCCTTTGGCCATCTTTTACATGCTCCTTGGGGATGCTGATCTTCAATTCTCAATTATTGTTAAAGTCAAATGTTCATTAGTTCAAGCAAAAGACCACCACCCATTGCAAATCATAAGACAATTCATAGCCATTCATAGTCTAGGCTGCACAGTACCATAGTCTACCACTATGCTACATATTGCATATGTGTATTACATTTTCAATCATTGGCATTGATGTAGACATCTAGCTCGTTAATGGAAAAAAGAAAATGTAAAGAACACTTCTGATTATTCTTTCTTCTTCTCATTTCTTGTAAAGGCATTTAGAAACAGCCTGAGGGAAGTTATGAAAGACTTGAGTTAAGGAAGGACTTGAACAAATGATTACACAGTCCAGAGATCAAAGCCAAACATGAGACAGAAACTCAAAATAATCTGAGCTTTCCCTTGTTTAGTATAAAATAGGATCAGAATTAAACTTGGACAACCTTTCAAGATTCCTATACTGGGTTTTGGATATGTTCCTTTTAACTGTGGTATTAGAATTCAGACTTTTATCTTCTTGAGGTACTTTTATCTAGCTTTACTTCCAAGAACATCTCTGTCAGTGTTCACCAGAAATAAACAGGATAATAATTCCCCAACTTCTAAACTCTCCTGGGCATTCGTGTGGGGCTGGTCATTTTGGTTGAAAACTTTGGGAGTCATTATCCTAATTAAACTGAAAGATACCAGCATGGAGAAGATTGGTCTAGTGATTTTGTAGTCTAAGTTTTGTGTTTGATCTGGATCGATTGTAATAATTTGCAAATTATTACAAAACCAATGCAAATATTGTACTGATGAATACATTTGTCTGATGAATCTGATGCAAATTTACTGTTTTGCTTTAATACCTTCCTGAAGTCAATAAAATGAGTAGAGCATAAGTGTCATGAAAACATTAACCATTTCCCTTTTATTTTGAAGGACAAATCATATCTTACGTTGATGAGTAGTATAATATATGCAAAGGTCCTGAGTAAATGGGGAGTTACATGGCTACATTCACTCAATCCATTTGTGGAATTGGATATATTTTAATTAGAAAGTGAGAATACTGTTTGTTACAGATTACAGGTAAAATGAACTTCTCTTTGCAGGCATGGCTTCAAGAAATACCTATCGAGCTTTGCAGTGGAATGCTGGCTCAGGAGGACTTCCAGTCAATGAGACAACTTTTGCCAAGATGCTACAACAGCAAGGCTATGCCACAGGCCTTATAGGTTTGTAGAAAGTTATTATAAAGTCTCTACATGAGTGTTTCTCAATCCATTGACCACATCAATGCTGGCTAAGGAATTCTGTAAGTTGAAGTCCATACATATTAAATTTCTGAGTTGTAAACTGGTAGAATGATTAGACAACAATATTTTCCTCATTAGCAAGCCTTTTAATTAAAGTAGAATGAGATGATATCAGCTTCACTAGACAAGACCAGGAAATCACCGCCATAAGAAGGCTAAAATTATTGATATGGGTTATAATAACAAAACCTTTCAAGTCTCATTGTGCTATGCCTCAACCATCTGCTTATACTCTAATGAATTAAGGAGGTTGACTGCATGGGTCATTTCCAAATATTATCTCATTTTTTGAGATTATTTTTTTTGCCTAGCTAACAATTCTTGAATATTTATGTCAAGGCCAACATTCTTACTCTCTACAAATAATAGGATGTGCATAGCCATATTTAAATAAGAACATAGAAAAAAACTGCTAGATAAGATTAATGGTCCTTCTGGTTCTCACCAAGGTCAACAAGATGTTGCTGTGGAATCCACAAGGTAGATAAAAACTTAATAGTTTCCCAACCCTCTTAATTATCTATGTTAGGACAAGGCAAAATGTACATAGTTTCCTCAGCCTGCACCAGAGTAATACATTAACAACTGGCCATAAACATAGAGGCAAGACAGTGTCATGTTTCACATGTATGGCTATGAGCATTGTGAGGAACATGGATAAATTCTACAATTTACTCAGTCATGTAGGCATGGTCATAATTCCACAAAAATAGAGGAAAATGAGAGACAGGAACAGACCAAGAGGTAGTTTCTTATACGTTTCAAAAAAGTTTTTATTAGATGTTAAAAATAGATGTGTGTGGATGGTATATATACATATACCATCCATGACATATATCATCCAAATAAATTGATTAATGCACAAATCTGCAAGGATAATTATATATTTTTTTCTGGTGGCATAGTAATATGAGATATTTTGTAAGAAACTTCATTGAATGCTAACATAATTCTGGGAAATAAAAAAAAAACTGCCTGATAATTGATTTATGTTTGTAACTAAACCTAAAATCATCAGATTTAGCATTATCTAAATAGAATATTTATCATAGAACAACTAGAAGTATAAAATATCTTCTCAAGTCTTAGCTGTTTTGACCATAAATTCTTTATATTATTTCATCTCCATAAAAATGAGTGTATCCTTTAGAAGTGGAGACCTGAAGAATTCACTCTCAGTTGTATCATGAAACAAGATCATCAAGTTTCCCCTTATAATTTCCAATACAAATATACTTTCTTTGCAGGAAGGTAACATAGTAGGTTTAATTTATGATTAAAGAATAGTAGAGAAAGAATGTAATGAGACCATTCTCCAAGAACACAGTTTCTGTCATTTTAAATTTAGATTTAAATGGAGACGGGGAATATTTTTGGAGTATTGTATTTACTGGGTACTGAGATTATCACAAAGAACAATTCAAATTAAGTAATACTTTCCCTTTTGATTTTCAGGGAAATGGCATCAAGGTGTAAACTGTGATACTATCGATGATTATTGCCACCATCCTTTGAATCATGGCTTTGATTATTTTTATGGCATGCCCTTCACACTTTTGAACAATTGTCAGGATAACAAACCTCCAGAACTGGATAGAGCCTTTCAAGCTAAACTATGGTTCTATACTCAAGTCTTTAGTTTTGCAGTACTCACATTGCTTATTGGAAAAATTACTGGGTTGGTGTACATTCCTTGGAAAGTGGTCGTCTTCCTTGCTTTGTTTAATTTCCTATTTTTTGCTTCATGGTACTCCTGCTATGGTTTTGTGAAATACTGGAACTGTATCTTGATGCGCAACTATAATATCACTGAACAGCCTATGAAACTGGAAAGAACAACTTCTATTTTACTAAATGAAGCACTTTCTTTTATACAAAGGTAATAAATAGATCTATCTAAATATCAAATACCAAAAGTACAGGTGGTCCTCTACTTAGAACGGCTCATTTAATGATGGTTCAAAGTTACAACGGCACTGAAAAAAGTGATTTGTGAGTGTTTTTTACACTTACAACCGTTGCAGCATTTCCATGATCATGTGATCAAAATTCAGATGCTTGGCAGCTAGTTCATATTTATGAGATAGTTGCAATGTTCTGAGATCATGTGATCCCTTTTGCGGTCTTCTGACAAGCATATTTGATGGGGAGGCCAGATTCACTTAACAGTCATGTTACTAACTTAACAACTGCAGTAATTCACTTAGCAACGGTGGCAGGAAAGGTTGTAAAATGAGGCAAAACTCACCAATATTTTGGTTCATTTGCGGTCGTAAGTCAAGGACTACCTGTATTGAAATTTGCTAAATGGAACCTAAATGATCCTATTATTTGTTTAAGGAAGAAACACAAGCCATTTCTCCTGTTTGTTTCGTTTCTGCATGTCCATACACCTTTGTTTACAACTGAAAAATTTGTGAGAAAGAGCAAACATGGTATATATGGAGACCATGTAGAAGAACTGGACTGGTTGGTAGGTGAGTTGCTTCTCCTGCTAAACTATTCTCAAGAAGGATTAAAATGTGATTAATCTACTATTATATAAGCCTCTACCATTTATTTCCTGTTTTGGACAGCAATATTGTCTAGAATTCCTAATTTATTTCTGACCAGTTAGAAGAAAAAAGAAAGAATAAGTGGTTGGGAATGTCATTTTATATATTTCAATTTTAAGATGTAGTTGTGTGTGTTATGATGTCTGCACTCAATCCTTCAGTGTGTTACTTTCCTAATGAAATAGGGAGTTGTCTTAGGGTTATAGGCAAGATAGAAAGTTTCCTTAATGGTACCACATACAAGACTTAGAATAACTTTACTCTCACTTTGAATGTACACTAATCAGCATACATTAAAATGAAATTTTGTTGCATACAGCTCTCAAAGAGTCACCACCTGCAATATATACTACATGAACATGACAAAATAAATAAATAAATGCAAAGTTTTGCAAATATCCCCATATATGACACAAAGAAACAACACAGTCTAGTTTGGATATACAGGTGAAACTCGAAAAATTAGAATATTGTGCAAAAGTTCATTTATTTCAGTAATGCAACTTAAAAGGTGGAACTATAGCAATAGCAATAGCAGTAGACTTATATACCGCTTCATAGGCCTTTCAGGCCTCTCTAAGCGGTTTACAGAGAGTCAGCATATTGCCCCCAACAATCTGGGTCCTCATTTTACCCACCTCGGAAGGATGGAAGGCTGAGTCAACCCTGAGCCGGTGAGATTTGAACCGCTGACCTGCTGATCTAGCAGTAGCCTGCAGTGCTGCATTTAACCACTGCGCCACCTTGGCTCAATATGTGAGATAAGACTTTTGCATGATATTCTAATTTTTCGAGTTTCACCTGTATACATGTATAGGGCAAGAAAAACGACTGAGAATGCTGCTATTGCAATACAGACTGGCTCATCTCTCTTGCTGTGCACATCTAATGAATAACCACCCAACACACCTACTCCGTGCATATTGTATGTAGCCTGAATTTAATCTAAGAGACATCTTCGAAATATATAGCCAAAAGTTCTGCAATGTTTTATTGAGGTTAAATGAGCTGTGATTTTCCTCAAGCTGGAAATCTATTTGCATCTAAGCAGGGGCACAAAGTTGACAGGCTAAATTGCTCCTTAATTAATTGCTCCTGTAACTTTATTAAAATACTGACCCACCCACGTCTGTATTATAACACTATTCAACACAACCTTGAGGGTTTACAATTTTATTAGGCTTTGTCACTCATGACCTTAGAGAAGAGTTGGGTGATTAGGAACAGTTTCACAGACTTCATGCAAACAGAACAATGCATCTCCAACTAGGAACTTAGTAGCTCTCTACAGTTCATATTCCAATTGGTGGGCCAGGAGGAGAGTCTTCCCGGGATTGTCTCTGGCCTTTGGAATATTCTCCCTCTCACACACATAGCGCTCACTCTCCTAGCCTTCCAGAAAGATTTGAAAACATGGCTTTGCTGTTTTGTTTGCGGCTTACAGAGGAGAACAAAGTCCCAAGGCACCTAAAGGACACCCGCCCCCTTTAATTAATTTTTAACATATATGCATTTTTAAATTTTTATATATACAGTTTCTATGTTTTAATATTTTTTTCATTGCGAGGGTAAGAGGGAATTTCAAAAATTGATAGAGATAATTGGTTAGACTAGATGAGATTAACTTTAGCTCAAATTAGATTGAAAATAGGTCAATAGACAGACAGATAGAAAGATAGCGATGGAGATGGAGATAGAGATACTTTTCAGATCCAGTATTTCATTCCTAGACTTTTTACACCCATAATTTAGAATCAATAGATTTCTGACTGTTGGATTCCCAAGCTTAAAGATTGATATCTGTTTGCCATCTTGAGGGCTTACTAGCATAGTTGTGATGTCAGAAGGCAGTTTCACACGGAGAATTTTCTGACTGCAGAATAATTTCTCTTTGTACTGACTATCTCCTGTGTTGTATCAAAGTGACCCAAGGGTCCTATTGTTGAGGAGCAGCATTTGATAGATCCTGTTAGCTTCAGAAAAAGAATTCACAAATAAGGTTTGGGATCTAAGTTAGGGATGGCAAATTCACAGGATTGTTTTGTGGAAACAATGTCTTTGTAAAGGGAAATATGGTGAGCACCATGAATAGTTAAAATATCACTTTTGTTATTCTTTGAATACTTCTGTATAATTATTTATAATTCTTTCTCTCTCTCGCCATGCAGGTCAGATTCTTAATGCTGTTGACAAGGAAGGCTTGCGAAATAGTACCTTTGTCTACTTTGCTTCAGACCATGGAGGCCACCTGGAAGGTCAAGAAGGAACAATACAGGTTGGGGGTTGGAACAGCATTTATAAAGGTGAATAAGACAGTAAGATTGTCTATCTTCATAACTAGAATTTTGGAGGTCATTCTTCTTCTGCCTATATTCCAGGATCAGTACATAAGCATACCCAGTGATGTTCAAGTGCACATTTCTTTTTTCATTGAAAGCCTCTGCAAATTTGTATCTCAAGAAACTAAGAAATGCTAGGCTGAATTATATACATGAACAATACCTTCTGCCTGGCAGCACAATAGATATTTATAAGCATGAATGTTTAAAAATATAGGAATAAAAAGTGATTCAGATTATAACTAAAACGGATAAAGTATTTTGTTTCTTTTCCAAATTATTTTACTCAAAATGATTAAAATAGAAGATAAAAAGTTAAACAATATTTATTCTTTTGTATTTTCTATTTTAATCTTGTCGTCTAAAGTAAAAATTTGAAAGTATACTTATTTGTTTCCATTGATTTTCAGATGCTTCAGCTCAAGGGAGCTGTGAATCTTTCAGTTGCCATGTTAATCATTTACAAAAGTTTCAATTTCATTCTTTCAATTTGTGGTGGATAGTAATCTTTGTAATGTTTGAAGGAATTTGGACATGCTGATTCTTTTCAAGCAATTGTTCCAACACTTGATTTTCAAAATGAGATCAAACATTATTGTCTGTAAATATATACAATATAAGATTACAAGCCAGTTTAGCATACTTGTCTGTTTCTGCTAATAACTGCAATTATCTTGTGTCTCTAACACAGGGGGAAAGGGCATGGGAGGCTGGGAAGGAGGTATCCGTGTTCCGGGCATAGTTCGATGGCCAAGAATGTTGCCGGCAAACATTGCTCTTGATGAGCCAACAAGCCTCATGGATATTTTTCCCACAGTGATTCATTTGGCTGGAAAAGATGTGCCCCAGGACAGGTATATAATTCTTATTGTACCTATATTTAAATTATTAATAAGTTATCCAGCAATGATCCAATAATTTCTCTATTAAAAATATGCAATAGAATCTTGTTTCTTCTGTCCTTCTTTTGAAATCAATATGTATTAACAGGCAGTTCCCAGATATCATTCCTAAAGTATTCCTTTAAAGAAATTGCTCTTTGCCATTTACTGAAATTGCTTAACATAATCTCCAGTATATCTAATACATTATCTAGGATTATGAGTATTACACGGACTGTGATTGTATATGTGCTGAAAACATTTTCTGCAGTTTCTTTATAATACTGGTGATGCTGTAAAGCTGTTTTCATCATATCTATACCATTTTGTCATCTTTGGAAATGTTTAATTATTTATATATTTTAATTAATCTTTTGTTCCCCTGCTGAAAACTGAAACACAGTTTGTCTACTGCATAATACATTGAAAGCTATATTACTTAACCTTAGGAACTTTAAGATATATTGATTTCAATTCCCAGAAATCCCTAACCAGCAAGCTGTCTGCAGAATTCTGGAAGTTGAAGTCCATATATTTTGAAGTTGCCAAGATTTAGAAACACTAATTTAAAGTAATGTTTAAGTGACATAAAGTATGAAAATTATACTTTTCTCTAAAAGAAAGATTCTATCCAGTTTTTTTCTTTAAATATTATTTTTTGAATATTTTCTTTTAAAATATACAGTTTATATACGCTCCACCCAAACAAATATGTATATTAACAACATGCAGAATATATATATTAACATACATTAACATACATTTCAACGTATCAGTCTGAATATAGGATTTAATTTACATACTTTTGGTTGCCTACTATTTCCTGTATCACTGTAGAATAATTGATGGACGAAATCTTCTACCTTTATTGCAACAAAAAGTTAAACATTCGGAACATGAATTCCTGTTTCATTACTGTGGAAGTTATTTACATGCAGTACGGTGGCATCAAAAAGACAGTGAGTGAAAAGAGTTCTCCTGCATTTGAAAATATTCCTTTAAAATTGCATACACACATATTACCAGTGAATTATTTATTTAGTCACTAATGCAGCAATAACCATAGAAGACCATAAGTATCTAAAATTACTTTAATAAATTTGAGAAGAGGGTGGGGTGAATGTAATCAGAATTGTGGGCAAAATAAGAACACTGAAAAACAGGAGGGAACAAATATACTTATTTATCCTGTAAAGTAATACCTAAGGCTAATGCGTAAATAACTTAATACTACTTTGTACATGAGAAAATGATCAAAACCAATGCAAAATAATTATTTTGTAGATAGGTTCAGACTTCTTTGACTATGATTTGTTGAAGAAGCCATGGTTTATACATGACAGTGACAGTCTTCGTACAAGAGACAAAGCATGTTGAGGCTTAGTACAAAATATAAATCACATTTGTATCCTAGTTAAAGAGCTTTTGCATTGGGTGTACACGATATGAACAGGGATGAACACTTTTTGGTGCTGGCAAGAATTTTTTGTTTGATTTGCAAAATGAAAATACATCTCTATATTCTTCATATCCCATCTTCATAAATATTTTGATACTGTTTGTTTAATGTTTTGTTTCCACCAGGTGGTGCTTTATGGAAGGCTCATTACGTGACACCAATATTTTCCACTGAAGGTGCAGGGGGTTGTTATGGAAAAGGAATCTGTCCATGTTCTGGAGAAGGTGTCATCCATCACTTTCCTCCTTTGCTATTTGACCTCTCAAGAGATCCATCAGAGGCCATGCCTTTATCAAAGATCACTGAACCACTCTTTCAGGAAATTCTTAAGAAAATAGATGAGGCTGTGGAGAAGCATCGCAGAACTCTTACTCCTGTCCCACAACAGCTCTCTTACTACAACATCATTTGGAAACCATGGCTCCAGCCATGCTGTGGGACATTTCCATTCTGTTGGTGCGACAAGGAAGGTGCTAACATCCATTCAAATTAATAGAGACTACCCAAAAATTATATTAAATGAAAATTAAATTCAAAACTGAGAATTTCAATTAATATTATGAACTTCTTCAATTTGATTTTTTTTTCAATTAACCTTTCTATCTTTTTGGGGATAACAGTTTTTTAAAAAAATATTGAGACAGTACTGGGGGAATTATCACAAATTCCAATCATGTATATTTTACCAAATGGTCTTAATAAAGCTTTTTGCAAAGCGCTTAGCCAACTAGTTGTTAGACTGGTTGAATCACACCACAGAAGGAAACATTTTTAAAAATGTAAGATGTTTCACAAGGCAACAATGGAAGTGTGCACCAAATCCAATAGTTGCAACCTATATGTATTTAGTGCCTCTGTGCAACATGAAAGAGGATACAACCAGAACATCTTAGCTCTTAATCTGGTAATCTTTCTCTTCTTTCTGTCCAGACTTTATATTAAGATAGCAAAACTGATGAGCAGACAGTAAGCATATTTTCCTTTTATCTTTTATAAAAGTTAATATTACCTAGCTTGTTATTCAATTACTCTTTTGTAATCTGTGCAAATAAGCAGTATCAGTAAGGCCAAAAAGAAGGTGAAAACATTTGTCTTTAAGGATTTGTTACTAAACTAAAAGCCAAGCTTAAGGAATGTAAAGCAAACAAAGGAGTCAGAAATTATTGCCTTGAAGCTGTCTGGTCAAGAGCATGTTATACAGCATAGACAAGTGATTCAAATATTAAACTTCTGAATTTACAAAGGGAAATAATGATGAGGATGCTTTTCTAATAGAAGAAACTATTTGTAACTCAGTATTGGACTATGAAATAAGGAGTGCTTTCTCAGTTGTTTGCAGATGTTTCACTCCCCAATGAGTAACATCCTCTGTGTAAGTTTCTGTTGTAATTTGTCCTATATTTATTCTCTTAAAAAGCAGGAAGAATCATAATACTTTTAAAGTTTTTAAAATAAAGCTTTTCATCCCAAACATGGGGAAGAAGTGGTGTTAGAGGTGAGAACTATTCCATCTGTGCAAACAGAAAATGCACCATATTGTAAATAGATAGAGCAAAACAACCTGGATGGTGAAATGCAGAAAATAGCAAATCACGATTCTTGCTTGGTCCAAAGTGGTTCAAAAGGGGATGTGGGAAGCCAGAAGAAGAAGGAAATGGAAAGTTAAAGAGCTTCAATTACCAAGTATTATTTAAATATTCTTCAAACTTTCGTTCTCAAAAAAGTGTTATCACCAACTCTGATAGTTGTGCCATAAAGTGGTAAAATGTTTATATTTTTCTTCATCAGCTCTTATCTACAATTTAACTGAATGCATATCACCTAGAATGGGATTCAAATAATATTAATGTAAATTTGCATGGTTATGATTTTAAAGTAACACTAATTATTTTAAAGTAAAGCAATTGCCATTTTGTATCCACCTGTGCAATATTAATAAATAAAAAAATGTGTTATGGTTTTTGAATAATACCAAGTACATTAAATAAAGTAAAAAAACCTTTTTCTTAATACTTGTATTAGTTACAGAACTATATAGAAAAATTTAGTACTGTTTCTAGTAAATTTACATTGGAAACAAGGACAGCTTCATTTGAAGTGTTGCTTGCTTGAGAATATACACATTCACAGTTAGTAGCAAAGTTATGATAGAAATGCATAACAAAGGAAAGCTAGACTCAGGCAGAAATGAATCACGAATGACCATTTCTATATATTTCTATCAACCTCTGCAAAAATTCACTTCCATTGTTTTTGGGTTCTCACCTTTTATAGAAAATTATTTGAGAAAAAAGACTAGCAATGGTTAAGCCTTTGGTTTTAGAAGCTGAACTGAACTTGAATTCAGATGAGCAGAAGTGAAAGAGTTGAACTGGGTAGCTCTGCTTGAACCTGTACAAGCCAGAAAACATTTTTACACAAAATATGGAAAGGCAGGTACAGGTTTCCTTTCTATTGGAATGGGAGAGAGAAGGGACAATATGTGCCTGAACTGATTGTCAGTGTTCTATAGTCATGCTGAGATAAGCTAGTCATGCAGATCAACCTAACATGATCCAGCAATCAATGTTTCAACACTTTGCAATAAGGGTCACAAAAAATGAGGATGGAACTGCTGCTTTGCATGCAGCCAGGGCTTCGATCAGAGTGTTGTAACTACCAATTTGACTTTTCCTGTTCTCCACCAAAATTAGAACATAATTTGGAGATTGGGGGGTTGATTTGTTGTTCTACATGTTGATTTTATATCTTTGAAGTTGTTTGGAAAATGCAAAAATATGCTTTCTTTTTAAACTCCTTTAAACTTAATAGAATAGACTCCATCTATTAGTCTAAAAAGTTTAAACTTTTTAAACTTCTTTTTAAACTCCTTTAAACTAATAGGAGTCTGTTAACCTAACCTGTTTAGAGTTCTAAATAACTGTATATCAGTTGCTTTACAAATGAGTACCATGTTTCCCACAAAAAAAGTCATAATGCATCTTTTGGAGCCAAAAAAATTATAAGACCATGTCTTATTTTCGGGAAAACAAAGTAGATGGGAACCAATTGCCAAAACTACAGTCACAAGTGAAACTGCAACAAAACAAAACCTTCACTGTACTTTTTAAAAAACAATTATTAAAGTTTCAACAAGAGATAAAAGAGGTTATAAGAAAAATTCAAGCCTTCCCACCATGGACTTTGAACACTGCTATTCAAGGCCTAAGGTCAATTTTTAACAAAGTGAAACCCTGCCATGTGCTTTTATTAGTATATCTTCATTGCTCTCTAGTGAAGAATGCCTAGCCAACTGAGCCACAGGATTGTCAGGTAAGAAACATGATTTTAACATGATTCTAGGGTAGTTTGTGTGATTGTGTGAGCAACATCCATAAGTAGGGACAAGTGGGGGGGGGGTTAGACTGGCAAATGTGCTGCAGTGTTGTGAGCTAGGTTGGCACTTTTTCTAGATATGTCATGGCCTGCTAAAGGTGGCATGAACCTTCAACCCTGCTTTCTCAACATGAGAACAGTGCTTATGCTGTGTGGTTTTTAAAATATAAATATTTAAATTGATTAGAAATTCTGTCTTGAAAGGAGTGGTTAAGGAGAGTAGACTCAGAAGAGTTTTTTTTTCAGAGGGTTTTTTTTTTCCTAAAGGGTTAGGGGTACAAGGGTCTTGTAACTTGACAGCTTTAAGACTTGCGTGCTTCAAATGCCAGTTTCTGAGCCAACATTTTGGTTGCTAAGCAAGACCGTTGTTAAGTGAGTTTCACCACATTTTCCAAATTGGCCATGCCCACCCAGTCACATGACTGTCAAGTCACTCCCACTTGGCAAGCCACTCTAGTGGTGGGTTTCAAATTTTTTTAGAACTTCTTCTGTAGGTGTGGCCTGCTTT